ATTTTACCTTCACTTTAGTTTTATGCTATTCTTTCATTGCAGTTTGCAGGACTATGTAGGCAAAGACCATTGGGCCCACACCTGATATGAAGGCGCAGGTTGACAAATTAATTTCTCATGCAAGCCAAGCCCTACAATTTTATTGCAGACATCATCTGGACAATGGTAGGTTCAAGTTGTAAGATCTGAGAGATCAATATATCTTTCAGATATATGAAATCCTAGGGTGCTAAAATCATGCTAATAGATTAATCAGTAGAAAATATTCAGATGCTATTAAAAATCACCCCAGATTTCTTTTAAAATTAGAAACAAAAAACTGACTCTTAAAATTTAGCTAATATTGGGAAGCAGAAAAATAATAATTTCTGCAAAAATTGTTCTCTAAGCAGCTTGATATAACTGATGTATCTATTAATCCATGAACAAAAAAGAAAGAAAGATACTGAATACTTGAAGTGATAATCTGACTCCACCAAGGATTCTGGCAACACTTTGTCACTTGAAGAGGGCCAGAATTGCAGTCTTTGTGGTTAGTAGAGGAGGACAAAAACCCTGTCTCTACAAAAAAAATTAAAATCTGAATTTACATTAAATATCTAGGTACAGTTTCCACCTGCACTGCATTTTGTACCTATACAAGGAACCTGTACCTCACAAAGATACAATCTAGTATAATTTATTTTAATCAACAGTGCTATGCAGATTACTGTGCCTGACTCCCTTAGAGAAGTATTGACAAGGGGATCCCTTCAATTAACCCCTGGGCTTTCAAAACTATCTGATTGCTGTTTTGCATATGACACCTATTTTGCAGCTCCTTTGTGAGCACTGCTTGCTTTCAGTTGTATGACATATAAAAGGAATTGTAAAAGACACACAAAAAACTCTCCAAACTTAAAAATATACTTTTGTAGCATGGGAACTTTAAGGGATGTGGGTTTTTTTCCTTCAAGAACATCTTTGACAAGCAGGATTGTTTACGAATTTGAGTCCAGTCATTGACAGAGTAAGAAGCCTATTCTGCTTTGTCTCAGAGAAGACATAGTGTTGTGGAATGTGTTCTCACTGTGAAAGTGTTCTCACTGTGGAATGTGTTCTCACCATGAAAGTGTTGGATGGGGCTTTAAGCAACATGGTCTAGTGAAATACATCACTGCCCATGGCTGGGGAATTAAACTAGATGGTCTCTAAAAGGTCCTTTCCAACTCAAACCATTCTGTGTGACTCTGTAAGTATCTTTTGGGATCAGTCCCTGTCACATGTTATTCCTGAACGATCTTTGAATATAATCTGAAGTAGCAGCATTTCCTAGAAAGGAGCAATGCCTTCCCACTAGGGAAATCACTAGCAATTAAATAGTCTGCACTGTGGCATGCCAGTGCCTCAAGCCTATGGCATGGCCTTGTTTTATTTTTTGACAAAATTCAAATGTATCAAAACCATAAATTGTCTTCAGCTTGTACAATAATTTAAGAGGACAGATTAGCAAGGCTCAGGGTGAAATTTCATACCAAAATTAGAGGGACGAGGGACGTGGTTCAGCATCACATCAGTCACACAAGTTTAAGGAAGGGATCCAGTTGTAGTACTCCTTATGTGTGAATCAGTGAGCAATAAGAATATTTAGGAGAGGGTATTTCAGCAAGGGGGAACTTGAAAGTGGAAACATGAATCCAATTTTAGCCATCTCAAAGCTGCATGCAATAATGAGTAACCCTGTTGTTTATGTAGAGACAAGTGGATATCTCTTTCTTAACCAAACAAGTATTTGCTTTGGTAAAAAAGGAAATAAAATCTTCTGAAACCTCAGTAAGTTTCTGTTTCCAATTAAGATTTACCCTTGGGTCCTACGGTAACACCCCTGAGGGCATTTGCTCATTTGCCCTTCTGAACCACTTCTTCCATCTGTGTTTTTCCTGCTCCATTTCTGTCTGTGTGCATGTACAGCACGCCATGTACAGTATGGTATGTGACACACATTAATACATATAGATAGCCTTCTGCTTCTGACCTTACAAACTGTCCACTTCAGCATTGTCATTCTATGAAATGTCCAACTGTAGTCCAAGAAATGCATTTTAAATGTGAATGCAAACATTTCTATTACTGATAACACCAACACAGCATTTTTTGCCTTGCTGGGATTAGGACCTTGATAGTTAAAGTTACATTGGAGTAATGACAGTCCAAGGTTGCATCCTTTACAGACATAGCAAAGGAAGGGGAGGCCTTTGATATGTCTCTGCTGATAAAATTAAGAATCATTATTTCTTGTGTTTGGTGAGATTATATTAAAAGTGAAAGAATATATTTGTTACCCATAAATATATTAGGTCACAAAAACTGGGAGGTATTTATGTGTTGCACCGCACTACAGTTGTATTTCATTCATACTGAAAGTCTGATTTTAGAAAACAATCTGAAATCTGATAATGATGTAAATAAATGCCTCTCTCCTCAGTGAATAACCATCCTCTCACATGAACAGGAAAGCAGTTGCCATTCAGCTAGGGGAGAAAATAAAATAAAATAAAAATAAAAATAAAAATAAAATAAAATAAAATAAAATAAAATAATAAAATAAAATAAAATAAAGTAAAATAAAATAAAATAAAATAAAATAAAATAAAATAAAATAAAATAATAAAATAAAATAAAATAAAATAAAATAAAATAATAAAAGCATTGTGATCTGAAAAGATAAACTCTCAGGAAATTTCAGGAAATCTCAGGAAATAACTCTGAATATGCTTCACCATGCTTCACTTTCATGCTCGATAAAATGGGGGTAATAATCTTTATTGATCTGTCTACCTTTTAGCAATGCATTAAGAACTTAAATTGTATCTTTACAGTCTTTTGAACAGTCTTGATATATGCAGCTCTTACAATACAGCTTAGTAGCTGGGCTTGCCATTTTATCAGGTTCTCCCACAGGAGAGCTGTCCTGCTTTACTTTCTGGTTCTCTGGTCTTGCCATGCTAAGGCCTTCTAACTGGGCAAGTGTGGTAAATTGATGACAATTTCAGCACCTACTGCTTGTTACCTGAGCTGTCGTAGCCAGCAGTGCGCTCTTGTTGCTCCAGGAGTCAGTGTAGGCTGTCACCCAGTACTTCATGGTTGAGCCCACCTAGGTGGGTCCTCACTGGGTGTGACTGCTGAAAGAGCAGTCACTCATTAGTATCCTGTCACTCAGTGGTTTCATATCTTAGCCTAATAGTGGGAGAGGGTGGTGAGAGCCACCTGCCCCTCCAGCTATGCTTGAATTACTTGGATATCTTTACATGGTTTTTTTTTAAGAATGGATTTTTTGGCGTTATTGTATATGACCTCTGGTGATTTCAGTAGGCAGAGGTCTTCACATGCCTCCGTTACTCTTCACCATGCATTTCACACCTCTATTAATTTTCTATCTGCAGCAAGAGATTCAGTGGTGTTCTACTTTTGAACTCACATAAAGCAAATTAGTGGTCTGCCCAAAAAGCTAACTCATGTTTTAACTAAATAGTTATTTTAGACCTAATTTTACACTGTATTGGATGGGTTCCATTGATAGAATATAAATTAATTGTTGAAATCAATAGGAATGTTATATGTTTTGCTTTATATGTTTGGGAAATAAACTTGCTTTTGGGTTTCATTAGGAATACTTCAGCCTATGTTCATGAGGAAACTACTCTGTGTCTAGTGCTATGTATACATCTCCTTCTCTTTCTGTCCATTCAGCTTTCCATACCTACTTAATGGCTTGAATCAGCTAATTAATTTCTAACAAATTTGTCAGAAACAAAGAGATCTAAAAAGATGAGTAAGCTCCCAAATAGAATGAGAACCAGCAGAGAGACTGTGGAAAACTATAATATTTCTATCTCCACTGAGTTAAAAAATGGGCTCATATTAGTGGGAGTCAAAATGGACAATGCAGTGTGGTGAATGCTGAGGATAAAGAGGAAGAAGCAAGGTTTCTGGAAAGGGAAAACTGGAAGTTTTATGATAAAGTAGATGTTTTCAGGGAGGCTATGATAAAGAGAGAGGAGAAGGTGAAGGAAACAGAGATGTGCTATGCTTTTTTTATTTTTATTTTTTCTGTTGCAACAGTTCTATGACTCCAGCTTCTTATGTTGCTGTTTGAAAAAAAAGAAAAAGTTTGGGTTGAGGCTCAAGTTTCATCAGAACTTTATTTCAGATTCTCTAATACCTGTAAAAAGAATCTTGCAACAGCATAACTTTTTACAGCCTAGCAGCTTATTGACTGACAATCTTTCTTACGACATCTGTTTGACATCTCATCCTAATATTAGTTTTACAGGCACATTCACATTTTAGGAAATCACTGTATTCTCAAGTCTGAGATGTCACAAGTGTCTCTTTCTGCAACTACTTGCCCCAGAAATGTTAGCTAATATATTTTATCTAACATCAGCCCTCCTGTTGTGTTGTACTTCATAGCTGTCATCCAAAACCAGCTGCATTTTTATGAACATGTCTTAATAAGGCACGCCATGAGAGGTACCAGTATCCTTTTGCATCTTCCTGAGATCACATGGGAGTAATAGGTGGTCATCTAGAGTACCTGGTATTAGAAAATCAAGTAAAATTATATAAGCCCCATTAGTAACATTATATGGATGATGTAGAAAGTAAGACAAAAAGACTGATGCTTTTATCTGTCTCAGTCAGTGTTAAAATGAATAGTGGAAACAAACCATGATCCAGGGCCCAGAGTGTGGGCCAGCATTTGTTTCAGACACTCATAAACCACAGCATGTTTGCTCCAGGTGACAGTGGACAGTGGTAAAATGTACAGGTGATATGTGATGTAGCAAATGATTGGAAAGTCCTTATCACCCCAGCAAAGGAATGACTGTTTCCCATCCTCAGCCTGTCTTAGCAGTCTCACTATGCTTTTATCACCTAAGTTTGATTCAACATGCAGAATATAAGGTGTGGCAAGTATATGTGGCATGCGTGCATTCTCCCTGTGTTGTTTCTTCCAGATTATTGGAACAATCCCACTGATGCCTAATCCAGTCCCGTCCAGCCAGGCGGCAGGTGGAGCTCAGGGACTTCAGGTGCAGCCGATAACTCCACAGTTATTGACCAATGCCCAGGGTCAGATCATCGCCACTGTCATCGGCAACCAGATACTCCCAGTGATCAATACCCAGGGAATAACACTATCGCCGCTCAAACCAGGCCAGCAGGTAAATTGTCTGTAGCCTGAATGATTATCAAAATAGACACACAGAAATTTTCTGCTCCTCATAGACACTCTCATGGCCTCTCTAAAAACCCCCACTTCTTTGCCATTTTTAATAGCAAAAATTAATTCTGCCCTGCATAGTGTATTACTGCATACTATATATGTAGTAATTAATAATGTCATATTATATAATTTATTTACACATTCGAGAGTTATCAATTTATTCTTTTTCATTTCTTTTCAAGGTCAGTATAGGACCAATTGAGATGTTTTCTGCAATGAAAATGCAATAGGAATATGAACCAGAAGAGATCCATCTGGCCCATCTGGCCTATAAAGTTCAGTTCCTTAGTTAGTGGTCACCTAGTAGACTGGGGCTTGGAATTATTTGGAACATACAGGGAAAACAAGGGAAAATATAAAATCTTATTAGATTTCCTCACTGGGAAATCAGATATGATTACATATAATAGCACAGGCAGAAAGTATTCTGTAGAAATTATTACTCAGTGTAAGGTTGCAGGTAGTTGACAGACTTAAGGATGGATCCAGTGACCACACTGAGGTCCAAAAACCCTTCAGTAGCTCTTCTTATAGCACTTTAGAGTCAAATCCATTAGTTTTGCCTACATCTGTAAAGCAAGGAATTGTAGTCCTACCTTTTATCTCTGAAAGGGGGAAAATTGAGGACAGAAAACACGTCAAATGGGATTACCAAATAGGTACTTACAAAAATGTTCCTCACTGAAATATTCAGCTTAGCATTCCTACTGCTGGTAGTACTTGTTTGCCATTCCTGCTGACACCTCCAGGCACAGGGAGCAGCTTCTTGTATGCTGCTGAGTATCCCAGGCCACCTGAATTCCAAACTGATGATTTTATCTTTTTTTTTTTTTCAATTTTAGAAGTATAGAACCAATGAATCTCTAACATAACTTTTTTGTTTGTTCTGAAAACATTTCACATCCCATTGGTTACCTGCTTTTTCCCCATCCTATCATCTGTAGTATGTAGGATGAACATTTTTCAAAGCACTTATCATTTATCTAACTCTATTTTCTTTAATGGGAGTGTACTTGCACTACTGGCAAATGCTTTTGCAATGGTTGCATATACATGGTTTCAAGCAAAGCTGAATGGATCTGAGGGCAGGCTCCGTGTTCTCCACCGCAGGAAAGCCTGACAATGAAATATGAAACTCAGCAGTTCACATTTGGTTTCCTGGGGCTGTGTGGGATGTTTGGGGTTTTTTTAAGTCCCCTGAAGGGATTAGATCTTTTTCTCCGTTATGGGGAAAGCATGCAAAAATCATAGCAATCCTGAGATCCTATTTGAAACTCATGAAATTTAGAAGTAAATAGAAGGATAAAGGACTTGTATTATTGCCTGAGACATTCTCACATGAAGAGCAACTCACCTTCTGAGTTCTGCAGCAAAGCAACTCCTTCCAGGCAATGTCTGCCAGTAGTGTCAGTGGACAGAGAGAGTACAGAGGTGTAGCATTTTCTACACAGCTCCTGGCACTGGGCTCACATAAAGGGACAAACTCTGAAAGCTGAAGCTTGCTGAATGAGCAGGGCTGCAAAGTAGAGAGCACTGCTTAGCCCCATCATGCTGTACTGTACTTGTTTACCCAACCTGTGTGCTCGTGTGCAGGGATCAGCTGGCAAAAATATCAGTCTGCAGAGAACAGATTATGTCCAAGAGCCAAAGATGCTCGCCATTAAGCTGGTCTGCCCAGAAGTGCTATGGAGGTAAAAAACATTATTTTGCCAATACTATTTTCACAGCGTTCAGCCTCTGCCTCTTTCTTACATGGAGTCTGAGGTCCCAGGGGTTGCAAGAAGAGCCACCAAACAACACAGTCTCCTTACCGTGAATCAGCCATTCTTGAAATTTAATCAAGACAGTATTTTTGATCAGGGAGGGAAAAAAATATATAAGTGCAAATATTATGAAGAAATAGTACAGGTTATCGTTTTTATAGGAACCACAGAAAATTATTTCTATGTGTTTGTGCTCCCTCTACTGGCTCTTCTGGTTTTACTGAAAGAAGTCAGAGAAAATTTTGTAATGAATTTCAGTGGGAGCACAAAAGATGCATGAGAGCTAGATTCCTCATAGGAATAATGTTGATGGACGGTGAAAAACAACTGAGCTAGTGTTATACAAATTGTTGTGTCATTTGTTAAGTGAATAGATTTGCTCGAAGTTTAAGGAGATCCTGGGTTTATTTTTTTTGCCTGAGTAGAGACTTAGACTAACTGTAGCATTTGGCTAATGATAGCATATTAAGTCATAAGGTTTAAAATATCATTTTCAAAAGAATGGAGTGAGTGTTTCAAATCAGAGGGCTCATCAGGAATTCAAAATGTTTATGAAAATGGTGTCACACAGTATTTGGTGTCTTCTGACTTGAAAGAAGCTTCAGCAGGGGGAAAGATTACAACACAAATTTGGTGAAAGTTTTTAGCATGTCTTGAAGAAATAAATGCAGGAAATAAATAATGTAGTAAAAATGTTCCAGTTACAGATAATCCTAGTTTAGCTTTCAACTTGTCACTTCCTTGGAAACTTAAGTACTGAAGGAGAAAAAGAGCAATGATACTGAGCTGCTGCTTGTTAGCTGAGTCACAATAATTGAACCTTTGTAAACTGTTCCAGTTCCTAAGTAATGCATGCTAGTGCTTACTTTTTCCCTGATGACTGAAGACTTAAATGCCTCAGATGTTGTTAGTCAGCTTTACTTAGGTAGACTATATGTGTTATTTATTCATACAACTTTTTCAGACTTGACAGACTAAAACTTCAATGTCTCTTAATGGAAATGAGTTCATGGAATACTTATATGAAGTGTAAAGCAGTCTTTCTTTTTCTGCACTGTAAATAGGTTGCTTTTCAATGTATACAAGCAAGTCTATGTAGTCTTGTTCTTCCTGTATTTAAGTATAAACAGATAATTTTGATTTATGTTCTTTAAACTACCCACAGTAGGCATTTTCCCCTTCAAATTACACCAAGTAGGTAAAACTTCAGATATTTTACTATTTTCCAACTTTTTGCTAATCTAAGGAGCACCAAGAATTCTCCTAGAAATTGCAATGGTTTTCTAAAGCAGGCAGTTGTTTGCACTCCTGTTTTATTCAGTACCTTTTTCATCTCTGTTCATAATGAAAGAGGGTTTTGCCTTTAATAATTTTTGCTTAGCCATTTCCACACTCTTCAAGTGTGGAAGTTTTCTTTCAAGTTTCGGATCTTTTGATCAGAACTGAATGCCATGGTCACAGGAAGGATGCATCCCTGTTTTACATTACATGATATTATTTTCAGCATTATTTTCTTTCATTATCTCAATACAGCCTAACATCCTCCTTTTTTCTATCTCTGTTCATGGAACAGTTTTACCTAATAAGCAGACGTGTCCACCATTATATATCTTTGCTTCCCTGATTATTAGCATGTGTATCACTGAAATGGTTCCTTTTAATGTGAATCACTTTGCACTGATCCACTACCTGTCAAAGTGCTCCCCTGGCATGCTCTAAACAGGTTTTTTAAGTTTTTCATGGTATTCTGTACTAATTGAAGAAATTCATGTGTTCTTCCTGCAGATTCCACTTTAACATTATTCACCATATTTCCTTGCTGGTTGCTAAAATATTTCAAAAATTTTATATAACTCCATTGTTTGCTACTTGTAGTCTCCTTTCTTGAAAAAGCAATAATAAAATTATTCTCTAATTTTATGTTTCTTGCTTTATAAGGTCTTTGTGTTCCATAATAAAAGACTACCCTGTAACTTTAACTTCTGCTCTTCCTCCTTGCCTCTCAAGAGGAATTTTGTCAAAATAGAGGTTGCATGGCTAAGGGCACATTGTTTTTGAGAACAGATTAATTTGTTGTAAAAATTTGTTTGCACTGTCATCTGTTAGCAGATTTGAAAAATTTGTTTCAAGGTGTTCTTTCATATCACTAACAACACAACCTTAACAACAGCACAGCTGAACTTAAACCGTGAACTGCAGTCTTATAAAATTTAGGAAAGTGTGCACCTTGCTTAACTTTGTCATAGAGGAGTTAGGTGTCTGGTGTAAGCTAGTTAACTGGATTTCCTGTATCAACATAGACAAGGAGACATATGCATGTCCAGTGGAAAACTCAAGACACCAAAATAGAAAAATTTTTGGATAGGTTGAATCCCTAATAGGTATCTTAACATTTCCACTGTTTCCATTGACATGAGAGAGGGATAGGGTAGCCATTTGAGGATTTTCAATTAATTCTAAGGTGAGAAAAATTGACTGAGAAGAATCCAGTGCCAATGATCACCGGAGTTCAAACACATTCTTGTTTATGAATTTCCTAAACAGATGTCCTAATAATTGGTGTTTTCTTAACTATTTAATTTCCCATACAGAAGCAAATTCTAGACATTCTATTGTTCTTTGGTATACTACATAAAGTAGGTTTCCATCTCACTTTTGCCTGGCTCTTTCTTTCTGCATAGATTCATTAAATCAGGACTGTAGTCGCAATTGTCCTCAGACTTGTTTTATCTACAACGCCTGACAGAATTTTTCATACTTCATTGTGTCTTAGAGCATGGCCAGTCTTGGGCTTTAGCCAATGCTAACGCTGTAAAGTGAGCTAGTAGGCAGCATTTTCCTACATTTTCAGTTCCCCATCTTTGTTGTCATTGGCTATCATGCTCCAGATTAACTGTTGAAAAGACAGAGATGCGTCTCAGATGGGTCTATGGTGATTCTTGTACATCTGCTTGCCAAATTTCACGTTAGATGTTCCCTTTCTGCTGTCTCAACCTGCCACAAAAACCCTACCATCTTGTTATCACAACTCTATGCAATCCCTTGTTATTCTCTCCCATTTAAATATAACCAGCTCTCAATCATTTCCTCTCTGCAATGCTCCTATAGCTTTGATGCTGTCTTGTTTTATGAAAAATGCACTCTTCTTTCTCTGTTTCAATATAGTCACTAAACT